CAAACGCTAGACTGAGACACACATTTACCATAAAGTCGAGCGAACAAGTAATTGTTTTCAAGTGTTAATCTTGTTAAATTCCTGTTAAAGTCCTCCCGTGCACGCTCCCGCAGCCACCATTTGGCAACCAATCAATTTTTGGCACAACACCGGCCCACATTTCCGAGTTCGGCCCGCATTTCCGGGTTGTCAGCGGTGACGCGTAACAAACGCGACGTGTTAGCAGTGACGCATAATAGATGCGACGTATACAGTGAAGCACTATATTTATGGATTTTTCCACTTTAGTAGACATATTTGGACTGATGCGACTTATAGGGCGGAGCAACGTGTACGGCGGAAAATATGGTATGTGTGCGTGAGAGACACACTTTAGGTGTATAACTATAAGCATGCACCCATTTGCAAAATGTAAATTAAACAATAAAGACTTGAGATACCCTTCTTTATACTCCTTTAATACAGTATGTGCTTTATGTACTATAACAAGGATTATCAGTGCAGACAAAAAAAAAACAGAGGAACTACAGAAAATACTTGGGTTTTTAGACATCTAAAAGTTACCAAAAAGTTGGTAACGTAGTCAAAACATTACAACAAAGTGTAGATAATATCCTTTTCAAACATTTAATAGTGTGCCTGTTCATGTGGGCAGAGGACTAACAAATTTAAAATAAGATCCAAGCAAGTAAACCTAACAAGCTGCAATGCCCAGACACTTACCACACAAATCCCCTCTAGACTTTAAACGTGTCTATCACAATCACACAGATGCCCGTTCAAAATAAAATAAAAAACACAAGACAGAACGACAAACTGGAAACAGGACAGAGCTCTTTGGTGTGTTTCAAACTGTTCAAAAGAACTATTCTTTGGTCACTTTCTGAGCTTTAAAATCATCACACTGACACCCATCAGCTACATTTAGTAATGTGAATCGCTAACAACTGAAGAAAAAAGGCATTGTTCATCTAATTACATCTTTAGTTGTGTTGATGCGACAAAGTATCACCTTGTGAATTCATGTGAGTCCTTACCAGGACATGTCAAAGAGCCAAAGCTAGCCTGCACTGTCACCAGAACAGAACGCCTCTGAATAGGGGTGGGTGATATGGCTCAAACATATCATGATATATCGGAGCATTCTGACGATAATAAATTTTGTGACATAACAACAACCAAAAAACAAACAAACCCAGAAATCATAGTTATTTATTTGACTAAATTAACTTAACATGTTGCTTTGCATTATTAAATAAAAACTAAAACAACAAGGGTTACCAGTAATTTTACTGCAATTACTTTATTTAGTAAAGTATTCAGTCTCCAAGTATAAAAATAAAAAAAATAAAAATGATCCTTCTGTTATTTAGATTGAAAAAGTCTGCACAAAATATAGATCAACAAAATCCACCACAAAAACTATAGTGCAGGCGCAGTTCCCACAAAAACTAAATAAAATTAAAGCTTAAGATCTGCTGAGCATAAATGTAACCAACAAAAAATTATGTTGCCTTTAAATGAGCTATAACTTCCAAAAATTGTGACAACTGCTGAGAATAGAGATGCACGATATTATCGGCATGGTATCGGTATCGGCCGATATTAGGGTTAAATTTCGATATCGGACATCGGCAATTCCATTAAAATAACTCGCCGATATAAAAGGCGCTGTTTTTGCCTGCAGCGGCAGCACAATGTGATGACGTTGCAGCAAAACTTGATGACGTTTAGCTGCAGCGCAACACGACGACGTCACGTGCGCCTACCCAATCTCACGGCAGAGAGGAAAATTCAAAATGTCAGCGGTGTGGAAGTTTTTTTTTTCATTGGTGAGGATGTCGGATTCCGAAGATTTTTGGACTACATTGAGGTCCACAGTCAGATATTTTTCTGAAGTAACGTTACCCGAGTTACAAGCCGTCATTTCTAACGTCATTGAGAAGCTAATAGCCGATAGCACGACTTGTTGGGTGAGTTTTACCACAGACATTAGGACGTTGTGTTAGCCTGGTTAGCATGATTAGTCTTACAGCACAATGGATAGACAAAAACTTTGAACTTAAAAAGGCACAGGAGTGCACAGGAGTGCACTTCATGCACAAGAGCAGAGGATCCCACACTGCAGCTAGGAACCTGGAACAAGCCTCCACAAGTGAAACAGCATCGCAGGTGACTAATGCTAATAAATAACATTTAACACTTTTCATTTAATATAAGTTAAAGTGCTATGCATGTCAAATGGCTGTTACTGAATACATGTCACAGCTCTTACAGTTGTTGCACATTTTTTGTAGCAAATAAGCCTAAATAAGAGGGCTATGTTCAGATAAAGGAACGTATATAAAATATCGGTATTGGTTATCAGTCAAATAAGTTTTAACATATCGGCATATCAGATATCGGCCAAAAATCCAATATCGTGCATCCCTAGCTGAAAACAAATGAAATGCTGCCTGAAAGGACTGCTGTTCAGAACATAGCCATCAGCCAATTTCCTGATCCTCAGGAAAGTAACTGGTCTCGAGGTTTGGGCTGTACAGTTCCCAGTATCTGTTAATACAGTGCAGTCAGACACAGGTAAGGCTCTGCGGTCCGACTTGACCATAAATCAGTGGTCGATGCATAGTCAGTGTTTCACCTACCATTATACAAGCGGGGTGCCGCTGCATCAACAGAACCGAGCGTACAGTCTACCGAGCCAACCCCCCACACACACACACACGTCGGCACTGATGTAGCTCCTAGTTAGCAGCGTGCTAGCTAAAAAGCTAAAGGCAATGTCTTCCTTCATGCTGACCGGCTCGAAAACTGACTATAAAAACAGCACTCAGCTCAGATGTGTCTGTGCCACCCCCCCCCACCCCAATCCCCCCGCTCTAAAACTGTATGCAGCTCAGATGTCTCCGTTCATGACTTCACCTTTACAACTTGAACATCGCTGCATTACCCATGTGAGCGTAATCCGCTGTGTGGTAGGATGACGTATTTATGGCATGACATTAGCATATCATGATATAATTTATTTTCTCGGGCAAGTTTTTTACCGGTATTATCGTGAATGATATGATATGGCCCAGCCCTACCTCAGAATCTAATGGGTTTCCTCTAAAAAGCTGCTGTTAGCAATGAGACACATCTTGAGGCCTGATGTCCCACAGATAACCGACATTATTTTTAAAAATGGTTTTAACAAAAGGTATCAGAAAGATGTAGATCCAACCGTTATGTTGTGTCAGAAAAAGGTTTTTGTAAAATATTTAATATAAAGATCTCTGCTAAACACAAAAATGCATTTCTATACATGAGTCCAACTTATTCTCATAAATTCTCAAGAAGACGCCAACTTTATACACCTCAACTAAATAAAAAGCAGTTTTATATGCAAGACAAATACTGAGTTATACAGATTTGTAGATGACACTTCATGGGTAAACATGTTTTGAATGAATATAAGCTTGTAACAATTAACTAAATGAACTAATAAAAAAATTTACTTTGAGCATGTTTGTGAAATGTTAAAAATTTCTGCTGGTGGATAAAACAGAGACCCTTTGGGATTTTAGCACAAAACGTGATTTAACATTTCTTTAAAGCTTGTTCCGAGTACTACAGATCTAGAAATGTATTATAAAAACTGTTTCAAACAATTCAGAGCAGGCAGCGAATAATTCTCGTTTGTCTCAAGATCTTAGATCTTTTAGCGTACCGTCTGGCGTTCATTTAGCGTATTTCTTAGTTTATATATTGGATCATTATTTACGGTTTCTTTTTGCACTTTATATTTTTGCTATTGTTGGATGTAACTGGGACCCAGTGTACACAATTTCGTTCCACCTCATGTACCACATGTGATGTGAATGACAATAAAGAACCTTGACCTTGAAGTTACAGCAGCATCTCAGAGAAAGCTCTGGTGCAAAAGTTCCCAGTTCCACAATAAAATGATGTCACTACAAACCTCAAAATGAGGGCTGCCAGTGTGGTATACAAAAACAGTAAAGGGCTGACGGGCTCATAGACATTTCAGAAGTTATTATTTTCTGCTGTGTTATGCACAATTCACCATCTTGTTCAAAAAGATGGGATGGATCAATATACAGTAAGAGCAAAAGAATTTCAGTCCATTGAAATTAATAATAAAAATAACAACTCAAATATTTTACACGGGGTCCAGACTTCTGTGTGCACCATTAAGTGGTGGTTGTATCATTGGCTAGAGAAAAGAACTTATATAAAAAGGTACTTACGCCATCTTCCTCCTTGTATGGACTAAGACGGTTGTATACTGCTTCAATAACACTGCGCCTGCAGGAAACGCACAAACACAAAAAACTTTATTATGTTTCATATTTACCCATTTAAGAAATGCATTAAAGTAACAAAAACAAGAGCAGAATATTTTTGAGAGAGGCCCAATGGCACATAAATAATATTACAGGAATTGGACCAGTGCAGCCTAAATAAGTTTTTCTTTACCATATTTGTCAAAGTAATATAGTTAAACAGTATAAATTCCTTTAAAGAAAGTGGGCCTTACTTGCTAGCAAGTCCACCTCCTGGTGGCAAAGGGGGCATGCCACTGTCAGTAGACAGATTCCTCATCACTGTTACAAGATCTGGAATCTCCTCTTCTCCTGATAGAGACAGCATTTCTAAACACAACAACAGAAACGTTACACAACTATAAAATGGTTTAGGACCAAGAACATCAGCGGAAAGATGAAGTTCACAGAGTAGAGCAGAAAGGATAAGGAGGGGTGAGAGAAAGGAGGTGAGGATGGAACCCTTCCAGGTGAATTTGTGAAACCGAGTGCAGAGAAGAGACATGATGACACGATGAGGGCTGCAGCTGAGCTGAGTGGCACGAGGCCAGGCCGATGTTCAGCCAGAGCATTCCTCACTCTTGTCTTTTCGCTCCCTCTCTTTTTGTGTCTTTCAAAATTGAGACGATACCGAGCCAAACATTGACTCTACGTTAACTGAACAAAATGTTTCTCAGCTGAGAGCTTCTAAAAGTGGGTGATGTCTGCTTCTCTACAAATATTAATTTCATGCAGTACTCACTGATCACTACCAGCATTTCTAAGTCTAATAAAATATATCACAATGTGTTTTTATTCTGCAACTCACAAAAAGGACAGAATACAAACAAAAACAAGAATGAGGTCAACATCTAAAACTGCTGGCTGGCACTGATATTTGAATAATAGTCAGGCAAGAAATAAACTAGAAAAAATAAATCTGTTTAGAAAAGTCTTGTGTATCTAAAAAGGAAAAATAAGAACAAAGCAGGGAATCCATCCAAACAACACATGAAAATGTTTGAGTGAGAAAAGGGAGCGAGAAGGGAAGAGGGATGAAGAGAGAATGAAGAGGGAAGATGCCTCCTGAAATGGAAAAGGAAGTTGAAATAGTCTTATTTTTTCTTCTGAGCTGGGGCTAAACTGGGCTGGAGGTTAGACAAGAGTGATAAATATACATCAACGGATTCAATTTGATTGAAATAAAACAGTGACTTACAATTAGATCTTGTTTTTATGAAAACAAGATCTAAACCTGCAATTAATGGCAGTGACTTTGACGTGTGATCTAAAAATTAATGAAGCAAATCACACGGCTATCCTGATGCATGCTCAATAATCCTGGTAGAAAAATCTAAAAAAGTCCAAGCTGGTCCTCTGGACATTCAAAAAAATATTTTTATTTTTTTATGTCCAGAGGGCCAGATTTAACTTTTTTTATAAATCACATAGATCTTATCCACAAAAAGAAACTACCGTACTTAAATTTCCTAAGATCACTTTACTCCATACAAAGAATATTCTAGAGCTGATTCCAAGAGAAATTAGGAAAACATTTCTGAAAAACAAGAAACTGGCAGTTTTGTTTTTTTTACTTAACATTCCTATTATGTTTTTACAAACAATAAATGTTTATTTTTCTTGACCTGTTCAATCTCACCTTCTACTTGAGTCTCCAGATATTTGTTGAGCTCAGCTTCTTTCTTCACAGCTTCCTCTGATACTTTGGGAGCGTTGGGCAAACACACTAATACAATACTCATGTTATCCCGACTCCCCTAGAATAAATATTGAAGAAAAATAAGTTACAAGATAAACTTCAGCTGTAGTGCTCAAACAAATAGTAAACATGGTTTCCTGAAGTGGATGATACTTTGAAGTACTGTAACCTTTATGGGCCATGGTAGAATGTGTTTTTGTTATAGCATTAGTTATATCATCAGTAATAACTTAGGATATGCATGTAAGGTCTTATCACCACCAAATATGGAAGGTACGTTTCTAGAAATAAGACATGTTATCGTTGAGCCTACGTGGACAAAAATTGCAGACTCAGTGAAGTCTGAGCTGGGGTCTTGGGTTTTGGTTAGGCTGACCTAGAGCATCCTCCCTTACGAGTGACAAGTGATCATGTGAAAAATAAACGATCTGTAATGACACACAAAAAATGTATGAAATGTCTGTGTAAATTTGTATGGGTTGGTGGGTTTTTTTTTTATTCTGTTAGGCCTGTCGTGATAAACAATAACTCAATTAATCGCATGAAAAATGAAAATTATCTACCTCATTTTAATTTATCGGCTTTATCGTTTCTTCGTCTCTCTCTTTCTAATGAAGACACTGGATGATAAAAGGCTCATCTCCAGTGCTCTTCACGGACCCCTCCCTTTCCCTTTTCTCTTTAAAATCCATTTTAACCGTCCAAAATCATGTTTTTGGATCGTTAAAAGCAGCTAAGCTGAGAAGCTAAGCTACAAGCTAAGCTAACAGGCTGACCTTGAGAAAAAAAAAACTTTGTCTTGTCGAAGCTCCAAAATTTGCAATTGAAAAACGTGCCTTCGTGTAAAAAGTTGTTTTTCTCTGCAAAAAGAAGCTGAGAACTTGTTTACTAATTTTTTTATTAAAAGCTTTGTGTGAAAAATGCTATGCTAAAGAGCTCAAACCACACAGAGCGTCCGCCATTTTGAGAACCGAAGAGAGACAGCCCATGTCACGTCAAGGGGCCCCCCTCCCATTTTTCTTAAAGAGACGCGCTGCTCGCTCTCTCACTATCCATCCTTCGGTTCAAACTGTCTTATACTGCTATCCGGTGGTCAAAAAACATACTACACGCAAAACAAATTAACCAACATTTCTTCTTAAATTTGACAATTACTAATTATTGTCAAATTTCAAACAATATTATCGTTTATCACAATAATTTCTAAGACAATCACCCAGCAAAATCTGTTATCGTGACAGGCCTAGATTCTGTTGCTTTTCTGACTGATCAACATTTTAAAGTTCTTCAATAAACCCCCAGTTTTTCTGTCCTTTAGAGACTCAGCATCATCCATTATTACTTAATGATAATGTTGAGTAATGATATTTAGCCATGACATTTTGGCGTCCAATGTGTTCTGAGATTTGGGGGACCAGGTGCTGCATCCCTATGAGGATATGTAATGGGGAATCTCAGGGTCTATTTTGTTTATTAAAAAATTATTGGTCACATCTGTGCAGGGCTGCGGTGGGGACCCCTGTTCAGAGTAGGTAGTTTTTCAGATGTGACTATGACTATATATATAAACCCTTCCCACACTCTTGCAATATCCTAAACAATGCTTCTAAACTCTAAACGCTCTAAAAGAGCACAGAATGTCATGATTTCCCTCTCTGTGCCTCAGCTGCTCTCAGCCACCCGCAAGCGTTCTTGACCGTGCCCACTTCTTCGCTCTGCACAGAGAACAGCTGCAGGAGGAAGCTCATCCTGCAGTGTGGGCTGCACAAAGGTGCAGCAGGTGCTAAATAATTTAAAGTAATTTATTTTAAATACAAAATCCATGCAAATCCTGCGTCTCATCCATCATACAGCCAACTGTGTGTCATGCCTAATCTTACTTTAAAAAATGGCGATAGAGCGAGTCCGCAAAAAACAAACCGCAAAGTAGCGAGGGACTACTGTAGTACCTATAGTTTCCAAAAGTAGACTAGGAAGCAGATAGGGATGCACGATATTGGATTTTTGGCCGATATCCAATATGCCGATATGTTGAAACTTATTCGTCCGATAACCGATGCCGATACCGATATATACGTTCCTTTGTCAGAACATAGCCCTCTTATTTAGGCTTATTTCCTACAAAAATTGTGCAAAAGTTGTAAGAGCTTGTGACATATATTCAGTAAAAGCCACATGATATGCATAGTACTTTGACTTATATTAAATGAAAAGTGTTAAATGTTATTTATTAGTGTTAGTCACCTGCGATGCTGTCTCACTTGTGGAGGCTTGTTCCAGGTTCCTAGCTGCAGTGTGGGATCCTCTGCACTCTTGTGCATGAAGGACAACCTTTTTAAGTTCAAAGTTTTTGTCTATCCATTGTGCTGTAAGACATGCTAACGGGGCTAACACGACGTCCAAATGTCTTTGGCAAAACTTACCCAACAAGTCGTGCTATCAGCTATTAGCTTCTTAATGACGTCAGAAAGGACTGCTTGTAACTCGGGTAACGTTATGTCAGAAAAATATCTCAGACTGAGGACGATGTAGCGAGGCTCAATGTAGTCCATAAATCTTCGGAATCCGACATCCTCACCAATGAAAAATAAAATTTCCACACCGCTGACATTTTGAATTTTCCTCTCTGCCGTGAGATCGGGTAGGCACGCGTGATGTCATCGCGTTGCACTGCCACTGCAACATCATCACATTGTGCTGCCGCTGCAGGCAAAAACAGCGCCTTTTATATTGGCGAGTTATTTTAATGGAATGGCCAATGTCCGATATTGAACTTTAACGCTAATATCAGCAGATACCGATACTATACCGATAATATTGTGCATCCCTAGAAGCAGAGCTTTCAGTTATCAGGCTCCTCTCTTGTAGAAACAACTTCCAGTTTCTGTCCGTGAGGCTGACACATTGTCTACTTTTAAAACTAGGCTCAAGTCTTTCCTTTTTGATAAATCCTATAGTAAAGAGTCAGCTTGCGTTTCCTGAGCTATCTCTATGTTATGCTGCTATAGGCTTAGACTGCTGGAGGACAAAATGATCACATTTCCTGACTCTGCTGCTGTCTTTACTTGCTCTACTCTACCTGTTTGTATTTGTAATTATTTCTATCCTTAACATGTGTTTTTTGTCTTTCTTCCAATAGAAAGTACACATGGACCTGTCATTCTGTTTGTTTCTCCTTCCTGTCCTCTCAAACCCCAGCTGGTCAAGCAGATTGCCACTTTGGCACAATGGCTTTTTATTGTTTTATGTTGTTGTCTGTACTTTATATGTTGTCAGTCTATAACAGGTCCCTCTTGAAAAGGAGTTCTTGTGAGTCAATTAGGCTAACCTGTATAAAGGTTGAATGAATGAAAACTTGTCCTGAGCCTGGTCCTGCTGGAGGTTTCTTCCAGTTAAGAGTTTTTCCTTTCCACTGTTGCCTTTGTGCTTGCTCAGGACGGGAGACCGTGATGATGTGAAGATTCAACACAATCTGCTGACTTCTTTAAATGGATAACATTTACTAATTGGCTTTTATAATATATATGAATGTTTTTGCACATTGCCCTGATACGACTTCAGTTGTGACTTGGCGCTATATAAAGAAACTGAATAGAACTGATGGCATCAAAATTGTTTTAATATTTATTGACAGATTACAGCTGTGTTAATTACAAATGGAAATTGTGTTGTTAAGTGTGAAGTGGTTTCAAACAGCAAATTTGTTAAAATTGTTAAAAGTACAGCTGTGATAATGAAGAACAGAATAAAATTAAAAGGCCTTAGGTTACCGGAACAGAGAGTTCTGATAAGAATGACGTGTTTGTCTATTCATTTATTTGGTTACTGGAATGGAGAGTTCTGATGAGAACAACGTGTTTGTTTGTTCATTTAAATGGTTACCGGAACTTATGAAAATTCTGATGAGAACGACGTGTTTGTTCATTTATTTGGTTGGAGACTGAGTAAAAAATAATATTTCATGTAAAATTTCAGAAAAAACAATATAGCTGTTGTGGAGGAGTAAACGAGAAAACTAAAGAATAAAGCACAAATCTGGTCTCGTCCAAAATAAATTTCCCCTCCTAAAAGAAACTTTTGTTGTTACTAGTCACCTGATCAGAACACACAAACGTAACTTTCTAATCAGAATATTGGAAAAAATAAAAATAACAATGCAGTGCAACAATTTTAAAGTACTGTATATTTTATACACAGTAAATCGTACCAAGGGGAGCTCCACAGAAGAAATAATAATATGATAATAGTAATAATACATAATAATGTTCATAAGATGCCCAGATGACTAAATTGTTGTCTGACTTAGAGAATAATTAATAATAAAAAGCTAACTAACTTTTTTTGTGTGACTGAACATGTGACTGAGTTAGTAATGAAAAAGATAAAAGATAAACATTTTGTTGTTCAAGTCATTCATTGATTCAGCCATCAACCATAATTTATTAGGTTTGATAATTTTTTCTTATTAGTTTAAATGGAGTGTGTGTGTGTGTGTGTGTGTGTGTGTGTGTGTGTGTGTGTGTGTGTGTGTGTGTGTGTGTGTGTGTGTGTGTGTGTGTGTGTGTATATGTGTGTGTGTGTGTGTGTGTGTGTGTGTGTGTGTGTGTGTGTGTGTGTGTGTGTGTGTGTGTGTGTGTGTTGGTGGGTAATTTACATGTTAATAAAATTACATAATCTAATCTTTACTTGCTGTGGACTGGATTACAGGACAAATAATGGACTCGTGATTTGTAGACAAAAGATATGGTGTGTGTAGAGAAGCTTGTATTTTCTATTTGTTTGTGTACTTGCTCTATATTACCGACCTGCCGCAGAGGGTATTTTGTGATAAAAATACAAAAAAAAAGTTACTGTGTTGTCATCATCATACAGATGTGAAACTTGCACGCATGACTAAACTTCATCAAAGAAAACAGCACTGGCACGGGAGAGCGCTCAGGGTGTTTGTGTCTCTCACGGTGAGAGAGGCTGGTTCTGCTGCTTTAGTTCTTATAACTAAACAATAATAACACTAAAAGATGAACGTTTACATGGCCCTGATTATAGCAAAGATGTGTGTCTCCATTTAACTTTATTTGTTCCCCCAAACTCACAAAGTGATTTGAGTGAGAGTCATTTTAAGGTGTTTGTAGTTTTTCATAAATATCTACAAAATTCAATTCTGCACAGTATTATAGAAATAATACGATGTTGTGGCTGTTTGGATATGCTAAACTTGATTATATTTAGAATCATACTGATAGGTAATTGTACTGTGACAAATGCAATTTAATAAATGATTAAATATGAAAAATAAATAGTGTTAAATTACTACATGACCTGAAAGCCTGTATTTGAATATTTGAATGAAATAATTGTTTTAGGGGTGAAATCTGTCAACCTGCCAAATATATATATATATATATATATAAATTTTTAACTTATCTTCTGCAAAGAACTTCATGCGCTATAATTTTTTTAATACATATGACAACCCCCAATTGCATGCACTAACATGACATAGAAGTTCTTCAAAACCTCTCTTCCTTCAGAATCCCATTTGTCTTGAGAACGTTATGGTGCAGGTTAAAATTTTGCAACTTCATTTCCGTAGAGAACACTATATACAGGTCCTTCTCAAAAAATTAGCATATTGTGATAAAGGTCATTATTTTCCATAATGTAATGATAAAAATGAAACTTTCATACATTTCAGATTCATTGCACACCAACTGAAATATTTCAGGTCTTTAATTGTTTTAATACTGATGATTATGGCATACAGCTCATGAAAACCCAAAATGCCTGTCCCAAAAAATTAGCATATCATGAAAAGATTCTCTAAACAAGCTATTAACTTAACCATCTGAATCAATGACGTAACTCTAAACACCTGCAAAAGATTCCTGAGGCTTTTAAAAACTCCCAGCCTTGTTCATTACTCAAAACCGCAATCATGGGTAAGACTGCCGACCTGACTGCTGTCCAGAAGGCCATCACTGACACCCTCAAGCAAGAGGGTAAGACACAGAAAGAAATTGCTGAACAAATAGGCTGTTCCCAGAGTGTGTATCAAGGCACCTCAGTGGGAAGTCTGTGGGAAGGGAAAAGTGTGGCAGAAAACGCTGCACAACGAGAAGAGGTGACCGGACCCTGAGGAGGATTGTGGAGAAGGGCCGATTCCAGACCTTGGGGGACCTGCGGAAGCAGTGGACTGAGTCTGGAGTAGAAACATCCAGAGCCACCGTGCACAGGCGTGTGCAGGAAATGGGCTACAGGTGCTGCATTCCCCAGGTCAAGCCACTTTTGAACAAGAGACTGCGTCAGAAGCATCTCGCCTGGGACTGCTGCTGAGTGGTCCAAAGTTATGTTCTCTGATTACAGTAAATTTTGCATTTCCTTTGGAAATCAAGGTCCCAGAGTCTGGAGGAAGACAGGAGACACATAATTCACATTGCTTGAGGTCCAGTGTCAAGTTTCCACAGTCACTGGGGTGCCATGTCATCTACTGGTGTTGGTCCACTGTGTTTTATCAAGGGCAGGGTCAATGCAGCTAGATATCAGGAGATTTTGGAACACTTCATGCTTCCATCTGCTGAAAAGCTTTATGGAGATGAAGATTTCATTTTTAAGCACGACCTGGCACCTGCTCACAGTGCCAAAACCACTGGTAAATGGTTTACTGACCATGGTGTTACTGTGCTCAATTGGCCTGCCAACTCTCCTGACCTGAACCCCATAGAGAACCTGTGGGATATTGTGAAGAGAAAGTTGAGAGACGCAAGACCCAACACTCTGGATGAGCTTAAGGCCGCTATCGAAGCATCCTGGGCCTCCATAACACCTCAGCAGTGCCACAGGCTGATTGCCTCCATGCCACGCCGCATTGAAGCAGTCATTCATGCAAAAGGATTCCCGACCAAGTATTGAGTGCATAACTGAACATGATTATTTGAAGGTTGGCGTTTTTTGTATTAAAAACACTTGTCTTTCATTGGTGGGATGAAATATGCTAATTTTTTGGGACAGGTATTTTGGGTTTTTATGAGCTGTATGCCATAATCATCAGTATTAAAACAATTAAAGACCTGAAATATTTCAGTTGGTGTGCAATGAATCTGAAATATATGAAAGTTTCATTTTTATCATTACATTATGGAAAATAATGACCTTTATCACAATATGCTAATTTTTTGAGAAGGACCTGTATACTGTGTACTTTTACTAAGGTCATGTACACAGTATGCTCATCTTTATGTGAAAACCTTTGAGAAGTGAACTGTATGCAGGAAAATAGCTCTCAAATGTGTGTGTAACCTTTAGGTGTAGAAAAAATTTCAATCAAAAGATTTTTTTCTGCTTTAATCCGTGCCTTAAATAGACTGCGAGTGCCTCTCTCACAGTCTGATGACAAAGAAGAGGATAAGGAGGAGAACGAGGATGTCAACCCTTGGGATGGCATTTTATTTAGTTTTTTATTTAAATTGCTCATTATCTGAAGTTTACACCTCCTCATATTGGAAAAGAAAAACTTTATTAAGTCCCGTGCTCAGACCTGATGGAAAATGATAGTTTTGTTTTGTTTTTTTTGTAATAGAAACTGGATCACACAGCAAAGGTATGATGAGTAAACATTTACATACCTTGTGCAGGCAGGCATCCACAACTTCATTACAGACTTTCTCCAGGTCATCACAAACCTCAAGTCTAGATTTGACAAACTCGCACAATTCCTCATTGGACATGACATCCCAGATGCCATCACAAGCCAGAATAATGAACTGATCTTGTGCTGGTGCCCGAACCATCACAAACACTTCTGGCTCAGGGCTAACCAGCTGCTCTGTGGGGCCCTTGCCATCCACACACTTGTAATCATAGTCCCCCAAAGCTCTTGACACAGCTAGTGATCCATTAACTCTCTGAATCATCACTGAGCCGCCAGCGTTCTGGATGCGCTCCCTCTCACGTGGGTTGCAAGGCTTATGATCAAGTGTGGAGAAGCACACCTGTGAATTGCGGTACAAAACAGCTCGAGAATCTCCACAGTTGATGAAGAAAAAATGATCTGGTGACAGAAGAATTCCAACAGCTGTTGAGCCACTGCGATCCAAACCATTACGAAGGTCAGAGAAGTTGCGCATGTGCTCATCGATGCTTAGAAAACCTGTTCTGATCCCAGCTTTCACGACCTCCACTGCAGAAGATGGTGGGGCCTGAGAGTTACTGGTGGAGTCGTCTGATCCAACATGTGAGCGTTGTGTACCTCCAGCTCCAAAACTAGCAGTAATTATGTGTTCAAGAAGGTGCTTAGAGCAGTAATTGGCAACCTTTGATCCAGCGTGACCATCATACACCGCAAAAAAGGACCAGTCAGTCATTCCAGGAGTCTGAAGTCCTAACACAGCTGTGTGGGCATCCTCCATCTCTACCCGCCATCCCTGCATGGAGCTCACCCCATAGCGCAGTCCATTCCCTTCACCGTGTGAGTTGTGCTTCTCTGTTTTGGGTTTGTCCAGGAACGCACCCATGGCTCTGCCTTAGACAGACCCAATGCCGCCTGTGAGGGGGAGATAAAGAGAAACAAGACACATGAATATAAAAATCAGAGTTCATTTTCATAATTAAAAAAAATCTGACAAATGCAGTCAATGTACATACATATAAATGTCCTAACTTTGAGCTCATTTTCTTGCTGTGTGACAAACACAGTAGAGGATAAAAAAACTACTTGGGCAGGAAATAGATACTAGCTCTAATGACAAGACCACCTCCGTCTCTCAACATCAATACCACAGACCGTGTCTGGCGTGATCAACGCTACTAGAGAGAAATCCATGCAGCAGCAAAAACAAAACTGATAAAAGGACCATCTTCAAATACCACATAAAGAAACTGCAGCAAGTTATTGTGATTAAAAAAAACTATCACATCACTGAAAGAAGGGTGAAAAAAAAAATTCCTGATAAAAACTTAATGTGGCTGATTTTTTTTATTTGTTTTTTTACAGATTCAAACATCTAATGTCCACAATACTGAACTTTAAGTTCAATTCAGTTACTTTAGCTCCAGTTTACTACTTTAACTTGTATTGTTTCTCTTAGACTAGGCACACAGTACTGTTCTCAATACTATGAACAACGAAACATGATTGTGAATTTAATCTGTTATTACGACATCATAACCAATAAAAAACGATTACAGATTTCTTGTGATGGTTTGAAAATCTGGACACGTTCCATCCATTTGTTGCCACACTTGAATTGCTACAGCTTCTCAACATTTGTGTGTTCGTGTTTGAGTTTTGGTGTTTCCATTTTATTGTTTAATACGATCAACAAAAATTCTATGTAACGGTAATCATTGTGCAACATATCCAGAAATAGGATGAGCACTTTCTTTATGCTTGAAAAGATGGAAGAGCAAGCTTAAAAGCTTCTTTGACCATCTAGAACTCACTACTGAAAGCATTAACAAGCTCTGCTGAGTGTTCAAGAGGATGTTTTTATCTTGTATTAACTGCACCTGCATTAGCTAAATGAACAGTAACTTAAGGTTGTTTGATAGGAAAGCCTTTGTTGACTGTTTGTTAGAGGGCAACATAGTTTTATTGATTGTTACCCACTTAGTGGCATCTTAACCATGGACATTGCACTTTTACCATGTCCATAATTTAAAAAAATAATAATAAATGCCACTTGTAAAATACTGCAGCCAAACTTAAGGATGAACTCTTTTTGAGAATGTGAGATAGAGCTAAAAGTCTAAATCTCATTAAAGATAGGAATCACCAACTTAATACATCTTTAACAACTAATGTGTTAATTTTAACTGAAAATGTAAAGTATGTTTCAAGGTCAAGATTCTTTGTTGTCACTTGTATCACATGTGGTACATGAGGTGGAACGAAATTGTGTGCACAAGGTCCCCAGTTACATCCAATAATAGCAAAGGTATAAACTGTATAAGAAAACAGTAATAAAGCTCTGATAAAACTAAGAAATATGATAAGAATATGCTAAACACTTAATAGTGCAACGTTAACAATAGCTAAGAATAAAAGCTACCAAGCTACCAATCAATTTTGTGTGTGAACCATGGTACCAAGCATACCATCTTAGTACAAACAAGAGATTGATAGCAGCTGTATCAGTGTGTACTTTCAGATGGCATGACACTGATCCACCCTGTGTCTAAATATTGTCTAAATATAAACAGGTCTCTTGTAAATGAGTCCTCGAGGCTCAATGAAACTACCTGTATAACTAAAGGTTGAATGAAAATTGAATACCTGTCATGCTAGCAGAATTGTGTGATGCAACAAAGATGCAACACTCATGCCTGCAACACATTGTGACAAGATCTTGTAGATGATCCAGCTCTATAAAAAGCTTTGAGGGTGTCCTCTGCTCGCACCTTTCTGGAAGTCCATACTTACCGCAAGACAAACTGCACTTCATTCACACTTTCATGTTTTAACTATCATCTTTTTTAGATTTTTCTACCTGGATTATTGAGCATGCATCAGGATATCATGAGAAACATTCTCAGACATTTGCAGACAAGTACTTTCTGCTGTGCAAGAAGCAACAGAAAAATTGTGTGATTACATCTATGAGTCTTCTCTGTTGGACCATCACAGTGCAAGAAGTTTAAGGGTTTTTAAATGGACCTGTTGACTTTCATGTGTACACAGTGCACATGCATTTCAACTTTAAGACTAAAAGGTAGTAAAACTGACCTTACACTGATTAAATTATGTAGCAAAATGATCACCATTCATTGTCTGAAAAGGATGGTTGAAAGCTTTCCAATAGAGCAACTCTGTACAACCACTGCTTTTGGACTAAAGCAGGACAGCTTTAACAAGTTAACTTAAATCAACATTCAGTTACTGATGGGGTCCACACAAGTTCAGATTGTCTGGTCAAACAATATACGGACTGAAAGTACTAGCAACATAAATTTCTCTTTACTTTTGCTTGATGACTTGAACTTTCTATAAACCGTTCATAACAGAAAGATGTATTGATCATCTCTGGTACAATTATAAATGCTGATAATCTGCACTGAAGTTTTTTGATCCAAAGTTTTTGTGATGGTGCTTCCAATTTTTTCCAGTCAGGATAATCAGTAGAATACTAGTGAAAACTAGTAACATAATGTTCATTATGAGCCATGGTTTTATTATCTAGTCATCAAGATGAACCAGTAACTGTTTACGTCAATCATCTGAACACTTCCATCACAGAAGCTTCCCCTAACGCTAGGAAAATGCTAAAAAATACAAAATAATCTCTATAAACTATGTTAAAGTGCAGCTCCATTAGTGTAAGTGAAATTGCTGATATTTTCTCTATAATATTAAATGTTTGTTGTTTGAACGCAGTGGCTTAAAGGACTCCGAACACAAACCGTGGTGCAGCAGAGCCCTCTGACCAAACACCTTCATCAGACAAAGGTTTCCAAACTTTATACCAAAAGCCCCCCCTTCTCTTGTACCTATAAAATATGTGCCTACCCAATCCAAACAACAAACCAGTATTAATGAATATCCACAACTATGCTCCAAAATATAACAAAAAAAATCTGAAACATTATTGACAATCTTTTTAAAAACATATGTTAAGTAAGTATGTTGGTGGACAGATCATAAACTGTAACAACTAAAATCAAATCCTCACCTTGATTTTATTTTTCAATTTTACTCCATTTGCATATAATTTTGATTCAGAACCATGCACCTTCTCATTGGTCTTTAAAAAAAATAACATGTGTGCAAGGTGTCCATTTTAATGAAAAACAGATCAGTGTGTTAATGTATTTATTACAATTTTAGTTATGATACTGAATGCATTTCCTAAAAACGTGTGTAACAGCAATGTCTGTGGTGAGCTTCATCCTCTAAGAATTTTCATGATCAAGTAAAACATTTCATGATGTAGAAAAGGGCAAAATGTCGATAACCACTATGCACTGAAAAACAAGTACTTATTGTCCAGATGACCTGACTGAAAATTGTTGGACTGTATACCTGGATTATTGAGCATTGACTTTTTTGGTTTTGAACCAGTTTGACATGACTGTCGACGAGGAAGAGGGCCGGCTCCAGAGGAGGAGGCATGCCAAAGACACCATCTTAGCACCAACATAACTGGTTTGTTCACTTTGGAGTAAGCTGTTTGGGGAAGAATCAATTTTGTGTTGTGCGCTTCCTTGACTGATGAAGCCTTCCGGATGGAAGGTGAAATGTTTCAGAAAAAAAAAAGAAACTGTCCAGATGACCTGACTGAAATTTGTTGGATGTACTTAGTGATTTTTAACTCCAAAGTAGAAAACCACTAACAAAAAGTATCATATTTTGGTCTTTTTCTGGTCCAATGGAATTAAACATGTTCACCTTCCATCTAAACATGGCAATAATCATGCTCTTTTGGGGTATATATTCAATATAATCAAAGTTGCATATTTGTTGTTTAATTTTTAACCATTTATTCAGTGGCCTTGGTCATTTTCTTAAAATATTCAAAGGATACTGAGGTAAATCATTAGCCTTTTATTTCTTCAAATACTACAAATTCAACACTTGAATATTCCAAGATTTTTTTTTTTTATTTGGACACAGCCCAGGCTCTTTGACCAGAAAACGATCTTCCATTGATTAAGGCATTTATAGACGATATTCTAAACTCTGTCTGGTTGTCACAATTCTACTAGATTATTTCCTGATTTTTTTTTGTGTAAATAACATTGTCATATTTACTAAAATGAAAAACGCATGCAGGGTTCTATTAATAGAAATAAGTAGAATGTTAAATACTCATGGGTCATCTTTATTTTGATTTAGCTGAATTCCTCAGTGGAGTTGGGAAAAAAAAAACAATAGTGACAGAAAAGATAAATCTAAAATGATCAATTTCTAAAGGTCTTACATTTCCTTTTAAGCATAGGACCATATTTCTGCTGATGAAGCACCATGCATTAGATAAATTATGAAACATTAAAAAGGTTTCTAGAATGATTATTAAGCTGAGCATTAGTTTCACCCAACACAGAGAATCTTGCCGTTTTTGGCTTAACACAAATGAAACAGGTGAGACACTCATTGAGGCTTTCCACTTGAAGTCATATGAAAAGCTGTCAATTTCCAGGAATAAGTGCTCTTTAAACACCCCCTTCAGTGCACTGGCGTCTTGACTGTGGAGCCATTACTTGACCAGACTGGAGTCTACCAGACCTTGGCCAAAGAGCAGGGACGTAAATGTGTCATGATATACTAGACATTGAGTGGTTTCTTGGCAGCCATGATTTCACACAGTAGAAACCAGTATATACTGTACCTGCTCTCAGATGTCTGCTTGTAAACAATTTGTTTTCCTTGCATCAAAAGTTGGGATTCAGTAAGAATCAGTGACTAGAGTACCTGCCATCTTCTAAGAGTAGGGCCATTCATAATACCAGCATTGATGCATTTAATAACACTACAAAATGTCACAGTTTTTTTTAATACAAACTGTAAACATATGCATTGTGTTTGCATAAAAAAAAAACAGTGAAATTTGTAGTGTTATTTAAAAGAATACATCAGAAAGTCTCATTCATCTTTTCTGTCAATACATCCATTTATCCATCTAGTCCTCTTGAAATATTTTTTTTCTTGAGTTAACAGAGCATCTTAGAATACACCAGCATGATGGGAAAATATTCATTTGACACAAACAGCCAAACATGGGTAGATAAATGTCTTTGGACAAGCCCACAGACTCACAGTATTTGCAGGCCGAAACAACATGGCTAGGACAGGATTTCACACAAAGGTGCCAACACAAACATGCCACTGATGCTGCTGCCATTTCTGGAACACACTGTCACACAAATGTACTGCCAGCTGAACAGCCACATACACAAACAACCCAATAAAAAAGTATCCACAACAGGGCAATAAAACAAGTTAAATCATGTGCTGGGGTTTCATAAACACAGAATTGGTTAACAGCACAAATAAGCCTTTACTGAAGCTAAAATCTGGATTGTTCATTTGCAGTAAATAATAGATTGATAATGAGTAGCTAAAGTACTTCGTCTGTTTTGTAGATAATTCATGGAAGATTGTTCTAACAAATAATGAGAGGTGGCACCTGTTGCAAACACAGTCTGATTTTTTTTTTTTTAACGATCATTTGGTCTTCTACAAAATATATATTCAAATCAGTAATACATAACCGGGTATTAAAAGCTATCCCTGGACACGAACCACCAAATGCTGCGCAGATATAAAACTAGGTGCGACAGTTACATTGTTTAACGTTAAACAGTTATATTCTGGCAAACCGATACTGACATGTTGGAAAACGAGAACCAAGCAGGTCTGAAAATTGAGAAATTAACCACAGACAACACTACGGCCAAACAAATACATCTTCTGGTGTTAACACATAATTATGTGATTGACAGTTTGATAAGAGTCTCCTGCACTTGGGCATATTTGAGTCTACCCACACTGAAAGATAACGCGCTAGCAAAGTTCGCAGTTGTGTCCAATGTTGTCTAACGTTACACGTTAGCTGTCGACGCTCGGGTTTGTCGAAACATCGCTTAACGTAGATGTTACTTACGTTGTAGGAACGGTATTCTCTCAATCTGTCCTCCTTCTTATGCTTACGGCAGTTACGACAAAAACACACGGGATTGTTGATGTTGGGTTAACCCTCGATAACGTTAGCCACTTTCGTTTGTCGGCCCCTAAGCTAGATTTTAAAAGCTAGCCAGCATTTCACGCGATAAGTTCTCCTTTTAGCATGTCCCTGCATCGGATTAAGGCTTCTATGTACATATTTCCTGCTGTAAACACAAGAAAAGTAAATTAATTAAGCCAACTTTTACTTAAGTTTTAAAGAAAAAAACAAGATGTGGCTGAATATATCTATAGCTTTGTCACCAAGCTAATTTTGGCTAATGCTAAGCGTTCGAAGTAGATGACGTTCCTTTTCGGCACTGGGTTCAGGGGCGGGGAAAGCCTGTGTTGCTGTACAGTGATTGGACAAAATTGTTTCAAATCTAAGACACAATTGGTCAAGTAATATGTCAATCAAAATTCATACGTACAGGACGTAAATGTTTCATCTGTTTGCGATAGGCGTGCCCTTTTTGAAAAGAGTGATAGACGCTTTTATCTTACTGGCTATATTTAAGATCATGGTAAGTGTAGATTATTAAATCAGGAACAGTGCAAAATGCAATTTACTTTTTAGCACTATAGCTAAACTAATGAAAACTCCTATCTCTGTTGAGCCTTGTATCCCTACAACTATAAACAGCGATGACTTCATGAGATTCTTTATAAATAAAATTATTTAAAATAGGGATACATTTCAAACCATCCTTCCTACAATTGCAGATGGGGCAATTTTAGAAATATCATTAAAACCAGATTTATGTTTGGACTGTTTTTGTCCTGTTGAGCTCTCTGAATTGTCAAAAATAAAAATATAGCTTCATCCAAACCATGCATGCTAGATCGCATCCCAAACAGTCTGTTAAAAGAGGTATTTCCACTAATTAATATCCACATTTTGGATCTGCTTAATTTGCCTCTAATGAATGGTTACATACCACAATGCTTTAAGGATGGAGTAATTAAAGCTTTACTTAAGAAACCTACACAGATGGCCGCTTGTCCTGAGCCTGGTTCTGCTGGAGGTTTCTTCCTCATGAGGGAGTTTTTCCTTTCCACTGTCGCCTTTGTGCTTGCTCAGGATGAGCGTCTGTGACGAAGTTAAACTCAAAGCAGTCTGCTGGCTCCTCAGATAAATAATGTTATTAACTTACTTTTTATGTATGTGAATGTTTCTGTTCAGTGCCATGAGATGACTTCTGTTGTGACTTGGCGCTATATAAATAAACTGAATTTAATTTAAAACTGAAACCATAAACCCTCAAGTTAATGGTTAAAGTTTGTAGACCAGGCCCCTGGGTAGGAAACCTAAACTTCTATAATAATAATACTATTAATAAATATTATTATTATTATCATTATTGTTGTTGTTGTTTTGTTGTTGTAAGAGTTTATCACCGAGATACCACAGCCCTCTGTGTGGAGCAGAGGGCTGTTATCTAGGCGCCTGGGGGAGCAGATAGTGTGGGTTAAGGGCCTTGCTGAAGGGCCCAAAATGGGTCAAATGAGGGTGGAAACAGGTATGGGTGCTCCACTTTTTCCACCCACATTTTGGATGTTGTTGGTCCGGGGTTCAAACCGGTGGTGACCATGAAAAAGTATCCTTCAGTCACCCACATCTGCTGCCTTATGTAGATGTTCAGACCTTTCTATTTTGACCAAACCCACTCATTTTTTTCTTCTTTCTTTATCAGAACAACAGACTGTTCAGAAAAAAAAGGATCAATGAAAAGTGTTAATTTACTATTCTCACTTTTGCTGAGGACACTAACATATTCAGGTTCCTTCTTCATTATTCAGACTTTTAAAGATGACTTTGAATTTTCTTGATTAAAAATTAAAGTAAACGCTCTGTTAAAATCATGGGACTTGGTAAAACTCTGAACTGCTGTTAAAAAAACTCATTGGCTTTAAAATCAACAATAAAGTAAAATATCAGAAATCTGTTCTAAAGCCTTTTTTTTGTGGGGGGTAAAATTTGTATTTGAAAAAAACTAATATCGTATTTAAGTTTTTACTACACATTGATTACAGTTTTTTTTTCTTAACTGTGACTCAATAACTTTTTAATTATCTGTACATAACCAAACCTATGAAGATGATAAAACTTTGACTTTTTATAATTGTTTATTGTTGTTGCCCATTGTTGTCATCTTTCTTTGTTGAAATCAGGTCTCTCTTGTAAATGAGTCCTCGAGGCTCAATGGGATTTACCTGTCTAAATAAAGGTTGATTGATTGAAAATGATTTTATTTATTTTATTGTTTTGGAGGGAAACTTCTCAAATAAAATATTTAATGACAATTTTTTTCCTCCGTATCAACTAATTTGCTGGAAAAGCAAAGCAAAGCTTATGTTTTAGCACAGTTTTGCAAAGAGGTAAAGAGCACTTGAATATCTTAAAATAATGTGGGAAATGGCTGAATTTATCTCATTGGCATAAAAAGAAAAATCAAAAATGCTATTTGTTTTCTGAGATAAAGTGATCTGAATTGAAGTTTTCTTGTAAAATTGTCCTATAAAATTATAACACTGTCCAGATAGAAATTCACAATGATCTCAACTTCCCCTCCAGACAGATCAATATTTAAATTGCAGATGATGAGGATGCACATCTGTTTCAATCATTGCATATTGATGCTGCTGTATTTTGAATGTAAATTCGTAAGATCAGTAAAATTATTTAACTATTTGGTTAACAGGCAGGTTCTATTACACCCAAATCATATTAAAAACAGAACATAAAGGCAGTTTTGAGTGCTAAATATAAATAGCCTGTTTATATTTTTTGAACAGAATGACACAGTTTAGCTGAGTAGGCACTAAATTATGTGCTGTTTATAAAAATATATGTAAAAGCAAAGCCCTGGCCATGGCTGTGTTTTCTCCTTGTATGAAATCAGCCCGTCTCTGATTCTGTAGAGAGCTGCAATCACGCCTTGCCTTGCTCTCTGCTCTCTGCTCTCCAAACACAAGAGCACTTGAAAAGCTGATTTCCTGCTCCTCAGAGGGAGCAGGTTTCTTTTGTCGGCCGAGGAGCCGGGTCAAAACAATAATTGTTGGCAAATTGGGCCTGAAAATATATGACGCTCATTTGATTTACATGTCATTTTCATGAGTCCACTCTTCAGGCCTCCTTAACTGCTCCAAGTGTTACATTAGAGCTTTATCAAATGTTTATGAGGGCAAATCAATTTCATTTCCTGGGTGTAGTCGAGTGTGTGTTTGTGTGTGTCTGAAAGGATGGAAAGGAAAACGGAAACACACACTGCAAGATCATATTAATGTATGTTATGTGAGGGGCCAGGCTTCTCCACCTGCTTAAAGGGATTAAAGACATTAACAAACTGTTTACACAGTGAGGGAGGACCTACCTCTCTCTCTTAATTTTCTTCCACTTCTCCGTCATTGTTCCTCACTCTTTCTCTTCCTCACTTTCCACCATTTTACTCCTCTCCGTCTCTGATTCCTAATCAGTGAGATGGCCTAGATGCGCCTTGGGGGTGGAATACAAATGAGCACAGCTGCCCTGTTTGGATTACTCCAACACACACATACGTTCATTCAGAGAAACCAGTAGGTGTGAACACAGACAGCTATGCACTGACATCTGTCCGTGCATGCAGAGCATTTGCTGACACATGTATTTTCCAAGCATATGTCCTCGTATGAATTTGTCTCACACGTGCATGCACATACACACACACACAGACAAATGCTCAGATCACATGTCTGTTGTGTCCAGTAGCTAACATATGCTGCAGCACAGCCATTACTTTAAGTGTGTAACGGGAACATGTGTGTGCATGGCCTGTATATTAGTGTCAGAGAGGGCGTGAGCATCGGCCATATGTCGCCAGTCATGAGCAAGTGACACTGTGGGAGAAGCCCGATTAAAAAAAAACAAAAAAACATATGAGGTGAATAATTAAAAGAACAATTAAATTGTTTATTTCTGTCTTATGATAAAGCTTCAGCATCTTTTAAAAGTCTTTTTAGCGCTGATAGTTCTTCAAAACCTGAGGACTGCCATGTGGAGTCAGTGGGATCTGTGGCAGATCAAAAGTTTGCAAAAGAACTGATTCACTTCCACTTTTAGTCTGCTAGTCTGAATCTGAGTGACGACCTTTCACTCTTCAAGTCACATTGTGCAGAAGACCTTCATGCACCTGTAGCTGCTGACCTCAGCCCTGCCTGAGGTCACCCACTATGCCTGGGTGAGAAGGTAGTGTCACACTTCCATCTAGAGGTACAGAGATGTACTGCTACTAAAGGAGGACAGAATTGTGACAGGGAAGTTTCTTTGGTCATAAAAATCAAAGAAGGTTTGTTAAATGTAATTCTCTGAGACTGAGACACAAACGATATATTCTGTGCGTCATCATGAGCCCCATAAACTTCCTTAAAGGAAGACCTGTGTTTAAACATGGAGGACTTCCAGTCTGCTCCTTTTTTTATTTTAGTCTTAAAATATTTACATTTAGAGTTCCTCTGTGGGAACTGCACCTATAGTGGCAAGCATAACCTGAATGCTTATTGAAATGGCTATAAACTGATTGATTTACAGTGAGAGCTGTAGGCCAAGGTGACCCGGGGAACCCTTGGTATACAAGCAATATTTGTTTTGTTTTTCCACCGTGATCTCCTTTTGACCGATATTGGGAGAAGAGTTCAACTGGAAGAAATCGTTTAACAAAGCAAAGGATGAGCTTCTCCCTGAGCAGGCAGAGGGAAGGCCACTCTGTCTCTGCATCTGCTGTGCTTCATCCTCGTCCTCATCGGCTTGCCTGACTCCCTTTTTTTTTTGTCTGCACTTCCGCTGTGCCCTCAGCTTGTGGTGTCACGTCAATCGCACCCAGGGGAACACATCAAGATAGATTTGCTTTGGCTTCACAGAAAGATGCTCCTGCAATAGGGAGTGGAATGGAGGAGTTGGGCTTGAGGAAGACTGGTTGTAAATAAAGGAAAATTATGCATGAAGAAGTTTATTAAGTGTATAAAAGTGCCAAAATTGGGCTGGGAATTATTTTGTTAGGACTGATTACCTTTGTCATGTCTAGGCTTTGTGTCAGAAAGACGAATTTAGACTTTTGATTTATTATTTTGCCAACTAACTAACTAATTACCTAACTAAACATGAATTTCCTTGTCATTGGTCAATATCTCTTTTGCTGATGCTTTGAAGATACTTCATCTAAAAAGTAAATAAAATCAAAAACTACACACAGGATTCAATATCCTGACATAAAATAAAATTGTACATAAGGAGTATAATAAAGTAACTCACATTTTAGTGCATCTACATCCGTAATACAA